GGCACCAAGGAAGAAGCAGCATGGAAGTTATCCACAACTGGAGGAAAAAGCCCTCCCCTTTCCATTTATCAGCACAACAACAGAAATGAATGGACAGAAAAACAGACTGCATCCTACACCAGTATTACAGGAATTTCAGACTGAATCCTTCAGTCTCGGTGTGAGAACCTCAGGGTATGAAACTCCCACTGTTGATACAGGAGGAGAACTGGAGGCCTACAGAGATCAACCCGGGAAGCCCCAGGAATGCTGCCTTTAATTAAGCTTTCCAGTTTTCTGGAAAGGCTGCAGAAATAGCTTTATCTTTCAAGTCTGCTCATATACCTGAGAAGCTTTGATACTATGCACGTATTGACTATTTTCAATTTGCTTCATTATTTGAAACTAGATTTCTTTACATGTGCTCCCTTCCACTGATTTTAACCAAAATTATCACTATATTTATCAAAAACTTTCTAGTGTATGAAGTGTTTTAAGGTAGACAGCTTTAAATATGTCAAAAGCAATGACATATCTATATGTAATCGAAAATACGTTGATGAAACGGGTAATTTGTTAGCCTAGAAAGAAGCGCCATTCAAGAACTCAGCGAGCCCTGCGTCTTCCCCGTGTCTCCCGATGGTCACACAGGCCGCTGCGGCCTCCGGAGCTCTTGGCAGCTCAGCAGGACGGGTGGCAAGGGGGACAGCGCAGGGGCAGCCACGGCATTCCCAGAATGAGGAATAGGACACTCAGGTTTAACTCTGGGGTCCAAGACTTTTCATCTTTTGTGATCATAGAATATATTTAGCTCTGGTATGTGGCTTGCTCCCATCTGTGGGGCACATGGCCCTTCATCTAAGTCATATTTAGAAGTGACCCGGTGTCCTTGCTACTAAATTATCAGCGCAACAACTGTCTGGTTCCCTTGCTGGTGTCCCCAGCTCCGGGGCGGGCTGGTCAGAGCTCTACTTGCCATTTGAATTACTCAGGAGGAGTTTAATACTACACAGTTACGAACCAGTATGCGAGCAGCTATGCAAAAAAAGAAGAGGAGATTCAGGACTGCTCTGAAACCTCAGACACGTGCACACATCTGCCGCAGTGGGATTAAAGTGGCACCAGACCAAAATAGGAGAATTTTACATCTGCTGCTCCCCAGTGCAACGAGGGCAGAGAACTCGGGTGTCTGCTGCTACCGCGGCTGCTCTCGCCCTGGTGAGGACCAGGGGCGAAGGCCCCCAAGGCGAGGACAGTGTGACCGGGGCCACACGTTACAGACGGAGCTCCCGCAGGCTCGGCCTGACGCCCTCCTGTCTCCTGACTCCGCTGGAATGGCACACGGCTTCATTAATCAAGGGCCTGGCCCCCGCCAAGGGGCCGACCGTTTATATAGTTAACATCTACAACACTGGTGTGTCAGGCTGTGCTCCTCCTTTGCATGGTCCTGTGGATGCAAACAAGACGCAGGGCAACAGTTAACCGTGCCCAAAACAACGGTACCGAGCCCATGGGTTCAGTTCCAGCATTTGCCACCTTAAAAGAGACGTCTAAAGAACTGCAGAGACAAGATCTGCTCCCGAGTGCACATCCTTAGAAAGGAGCCCTTTCTGCAGGGCAA